TCCCCCCAGGTGTTATATAACTCGATTATAATAATCAGAAAGCCGGCCGGCATCAATATTTCCGGTGCTATACTAGTGAAATATAATAACAACTGGAACAATAACTCCTATAGTTTTCCCCATGGTTGTTTGAAGCTAAACTCCCCCTGATATAATGCCTGTTTTCTTGGCGACCGACGTTTGCTTTGGCTTGTTGGCAGTTGAAAACAGTGAAAAAATTATTTGTTTTTTTTAGACACATTTTATGCTTTAAAATTGCATCTACCATAATTAGCGTGTGCCTCAGCAAGATATTTCGAGGAGAAACATAATCGGCGGGCATCATGGAGGATTGTTTCTAACAATATATCAACCAAGTTTATCGGCCTGTTATATGCAATGTGTTCATTTTCTTTTCTCTCTTTTTTATGCTTTACACGGACAGCATAAGAGTAGGGTGTTATGTATTTGAAAAATAAACTTAATTTTTACATATTTAAATCGATAAAATAGTATTTCAAGAATCATTTTGCAAGGATCTTGCATTTTTCTTTATGGCACTGAGCTGTATATATATTTGAAGATATATATTTTTATGGCGTTAGAAATGCTCTTAAAAACACATTTTTCTAACTTGCAAATTGCCAAATTTTTACAAAACTTGGTAGGATTGTGTATTTAACCTGGAACTATAATAGTTTGGTGGATTGAACGTTTACGTACGAGTGAAGCTTTCAAAAACGGAGAAAAAGCAAGAAAAAATTGCACGGACTTTTGGTAATTTTTGTCTTTGTTTTAACATTTTTTAGCGTTTTGGCCGATTTTTTTTACATTCAACCAGTTTGATTAATAATCTTCAAATATAATAGTATTTTGAAAATTAAACGCAAAGTTTACTTTTGAAATTTTATAAATATAAAAGTGCCACATTTTTTTACAAAAGGGATTGGAGCTACCTGCAAGCTGGCATCATGCTGACTTCAAAGATAGCGGCGAAGTTATCATTTTAGTTGATATTATAGTTCACTGTGCTATACATCCTACGATAACCATACAACCGGGAATCGAGTCAGCGACATTTGTTTTCTCAAGATAAAAGAATTGATTTATTTTATAAAAACGAAAGACTGTTTAAGCGATGGTTTTTTATGAGACAATAGGAATGTACCGGCGTGGCAACGCAGGTTCCGCTTTAAAAACCATTTCAAAAAGAATAATTACTAATAGCTCGAAACAGCACGAACTTTTGTTGTAAAAAACTGAAATTTCATCTACCTACAGAAAATTGAGTGAATTTTCCGTATCTACAATGCAAAACTCTAAAATTCCGACCAATTTTTTAGTAAGTGTTTTATTGCGTTATAATTTATGCATGACGTTAGTAGTACTCAGTGGTGTAGAAGTTGGGGGCGCTTGGGGGCGGAGCCCCCTTCTAATTTTGAAATTGGTAATTTTAAAAGGGCACTATTGACAAAAACGTCAAGAATGCCTCCCCCCCTCCTCCTCGGATAAATTTAGTTCTACTGCACTGGTGGTACAGACACATCGATTATAATCGTTATGAAAAAGGTTCAAGTAATAAAATTTGTATCAGCAGAAAGCATAAGTTGTAGACTTATCTAATGGTGGGAAATTTTTTGCAAAAAGTAAGTATCTTATGAGATATTTGGTAAGATACAATCACTTCCGGAAGTTAATAAATTAATATAAATTTTTGTATAAATAATCCTCGATGCCAAAGAGTTAAAGAATAAATATTCTGCAAAGTAACAATTTTTACTTCTCGAACGGGAACATTTAACTCTACCAGTGTGTCTCCTGCATACATCCAGCATCGTAGCAAACTTTTTCCTGCGTTGGAAACTTCTAAAAATTATCATTATTCTTCAGTTTAGAATCATATTGCTTTTTGCAGTGAGTATAAGTGGACCTAAATTTGGATATAACATGATTAAATATACAGGCTGGTGCCCCGTGACCAGAAAGAAACCATACCTTGTTTTACGAATAAAGGTTTCTGCTGTTTTTGTAGCTGTACTGCTTCTATACTTTAAAACACCAGTGTAATTTAGAGTGCATGCCTTGTAGTTTGATACAGATCCTAATAATTATGCATTTTCACTTTCGAAGATGAACTTCTTTGCGATTATTTTAAAGTACAAAATAAGGGATTGAAATTTAGGCACCATAAAAAGACGACAGTGCAAACTTGTTTCGGTGTAAAATAAAACTTACATAACCTGAAAACGGACATCTTGTAAATTCAAGTTTTGAAAAAAGAGAATTCAAAATGTAATATTCCATTTTAATACCTGTGTTACCTATCTGTGTTTTAGTACCTATCTATGTTACTATTGTATAAAATTAAACTTTACTGCCACCAATATCTTCATAAACATCATCTTCTATGACAATTTTCTTTTCCAAGATTATAAAATTATGATTGGTAACATATATTTCATTCTTCTAAAAATAATAAGATTTAAATAAGCTTTGCCGCATTTGGTCAGAGGCGGGCTAGCCCATGATAACACAGTTAAATTTTTTGGTGAGCTCACAGCTCATTTGTGGTCTATATATGATTCAAAAAATTGTAACCATAATTGCTTTGGAAAAACCAATGGTTTATATGTGCTTAGAGCTATATTGACAGTTAAAAATACTCATCAGAACTTGCTGCTTTGCTCTTTTGAATATGCACAAGTGCAAAGTTAAAATAAATAATTGTGCCTTGCACAACTATATTTTACTTATGAATGTTTTATGCAGTGCGGTGTTTGAAATTAAATTTTGTGTTTTAATTTCAAACACCGCACTGCATAAAACAATCAAACGACATTCCTTTCACGAGAAAACATGAGCCCAACAATATTGACCGGCTCACCACTGTGTGACTTCATAGCTCAGTTGATCAGAGCACTGCAATGGCACCGCAGAGGTCATGGGTTCGAATCCCGTTGAGTCACCTGATTTTTTCAGGTCCTGAGACGATTGCTTAAATTGTCCAGCAAAGTGCGAAGATCATATCTTCATTTAATTATATTTTACTTAAATAAACTATTACGTTATTTTCGTTAACAGAACTCCTTGGGCCTTAATTGTTTCAATTAAAGTTAGAGAGTTGTAGTTACAACTTGAAAAATATACAGCAGTGTCCAATCTCCCCGCTCTTGAAGCTTTATGCAATTTCAAAGAATTGAATGTTGAAAACATATATTAAAAGGCTCCTGAATAAGACAGCACCATCATCATCATATCTCCATAATCCTGACTATGATATCACCATTATCACCATTGTCATGACCATGATGACCATTATCATCATCATTATCATAATTAATCACCATTAGCAGGACCATGACCATCGTTAGCTCCATCTTTATTATCAATTATACCATGACCACGATCATTTCAGTATCATCATCACCCTTATCCTTAATGCAATCACCAATATCATCACTATAACCATTATCATGATCATGATCATCATCATCATCATCATCTTCATCATCATCATCATCGTTCTTATTAATGTCATCATCGTCATCAACATTGTTTGCATTAAGAACTTTAAAATGTTCAGCATCCTTCAATTTTACCGCTCTCAAAGTTTTATCTAATTTCAAACATATGAAAGTTTTCATGGATGTGTGCCTAAATATTAAATCATCTTCATCACTGTCTTCAATACCATGATCACCGTAACTATGATCATGGTCATCATCATCATCACCATCATCATCATCTATTTAGCTTACACCGTATGAAAATGGACAAATGTTCATTGTCCAAAAAATAAACCAGTCCATCAGAATCTCCTTCATCCAGAAATCGGTTATAACTTTTCAACTTTACTGCATCCAGAAAAAGTGTTTCTCTCTTCTCGGTTTCATTCTTTGGTTTAGTTAAATCAGAGCATCTTCGCTTTTTTTATGAAACACTTGTTATTATTTTGAACTACATGCACAGTTTCCTTCTTCTTGTTGATTCTTTCACGAAGCTTTTTATTTGCTTGACTTAAATTTAAGATAAAATTCTCCAAGTCATCTAACCAAGAAGCTTAAAAAAAGTTCATCACCGACGTCAATTTTTACAATTTCCACTTCGCAATCAAATTGACTAAGCACAACGTAAGGAAACGATTGACATTTTTTTGTTTGGAAAATCAAAGAAATATACGATTCCTTTAATTAGATGTTTTACCGCATCACGAATTGTCAAAACATCTTTTTTTCGATTAAAAGCCAGCTCACTAGCAAATAGATCACAAACGCAATCAACATGTGCGCATGTCAAGGCGAAATATCTATCATTATTTGTTGCCAAACATTGTCAGTGTGCCATTGGAACTGCTGGCCTTTTGTTTTTTATCTTTAACACCTTTCAGAATGGGCACAACAGTTGCTGCATCATATTTCTTACAGCCCGGAAATTTGATAAATATCGAATTTTGGCTTTGTATAAGGTTTGCACAGGAGTTCCATAAATTTCCATGCTTCCCATTGAAAAATTTGTTCGAACCCTTTTTTTTGAATCTTCATCTGACTTTTGTTCATCACCATCAACTTTAATGGTCCGATGAAAAATGGTATAGCTTGATTGTCAGAATTGGTTCCTGATCTCCAAATATCCGTGGCAACATTAATAATTAAATCAGGTAGAAGGAAACCATTGGTTTGCTAAGACAAAAACTACACTGATACCAAAATGGGTACGTTTTTTCCGATATTGATCTTTAATAAAAAGACAAATCTTATTCACCATAAGCAATTAGAACAAGACAACAATACACTACCTTAACAAGAAACTTGTGCAATTTTATATTTTGCAATTATTCATACACGCACCGTATGCTCGATTGCATTACGATCAGAAGACAAAAATGAAAGTTAATATTAGTACGAGCATACGTATGCAATGCGGAAGATCATTCATTACTATGACATTAATGATAGTACTCATAAGCACTCACAAAAAATGAAGTAAATTGCGTGGCAAAATATTGAAAATGATTGAGGCGATTTAGATGAAAAACTACCATACAATTTTCTTTAATAATAAGAGTCATTTGGCCATGAGCCACGAGATTACAAACTATTGAGATCTTTTAATTTTGACAGACGACCTTAAAGCAACCATTATTTTTTTGATTTTATAATACGTTCATAATTTTTGTATCAAACTTTATTTGTTAAACCTAACCTTCCATTAAACCATTAAAATTTAAACTACTTCCTGCCTGGCAATTATGATGTCAAGAGGCCTTGTCAAAAAACTTTCCTCTGGGCCCCAGAGTATTTCGTGGTTGCCTTGTTACATGTATAATATATAAAACCAAAAAAAGTCTTTCACGTAGATTGTTCACTTTGTCTCTAATATTGTAATCTTCATTTAGAAATTTTTTTCCAATATCTTCTATTCTCGATGCTTCTTTATAATTGACGTCTAAATTAATGAGTCAATTTTCAGTAAATCCTATCAGTTAAAAAATTTGCAATTAATGCATTAGAAAAATTAAGTTCTACATAAAAAAACAAAGCCAATTTGTTGTGCAATAAAATGCGAAAAATTCAATATGTTACAGCCCCAAATTAAATACATTGAGTTGCAAATACTACATGAAAGTTCTTATTTTCATTCAATCTTATATCAATTGATTGAAAGTTTCGTTGTGTTATATTGTTAAATTCACTTGTGCACCTTGAAATAACTGTTCAAGAAATTTTTGTTTATTAAATACCACGCAGAAATTGTTAGTAGACAATGTATTTGAGTCTCTTGATGTAGCGAAATTACGAAGATCTTATCCACAACACTATGAATTACAATACAGGTTTCTTCATTTATGGCATTGCTCACTTATCCAGATTTATCATGGTTTTTGATGACATTCGGCAACGATATTTGTACGACTGCGGATTATCTTTTTAAACGTTGTGAAGATAGTTAAGTTAGTCATAAAAAAAAATTCCTTTTTATAAAGAATTTCGGTTAATGCTCCTTGGTTTTTTACCTTAAATAAAGAAGAGTTTTTAATTTTTCTTTGAAAAGTCTAATTTACTGACCGAAAGAAGAACTATTCTGTGTCCTTCCTTGTCCCTCAACAAGTATCTTCTCTTGGATCTCTTTCGGAAGCATCTTTTCCATTTCTTCCAGTAGATTCTTTTTTGTCTACACCAGTAACTTTTTCTGTACTTCCACCGGTATTTTTTTGTGTGTGCATTAAAGTTTCATTTGTGTATTTTCTTGTAGCTCTTTCCATGTATTTTTATCTAGAGGATATGATTTTTTCAATATTAAAAAGTAAATATGTCAATTCGAAACTTTTAATAAATTTTATTAATTTCAATTGATAATACACATCACTTGGTAACAAACCAATCAATATAGTGAAAGAATTACAACAATACCTCACCAAAGATTGAACCAGAAGGTAAATTGAATTAAATTATGGATGAAATATGTATGAAATAATTTTTAATTTTAGGTAAATTTTATGCTAAGTTCTTCATTTTTCATGCGGAATGACTTTATGATCTACGTCCTTTATCAAAACATAAATTTCAATATAGCTATTTGTGTTATTTGAAAATATATATGACCTAAATATACTTTAGCGTTATATATAAATCTTTCGTATGAGCTCCGAACGTGAGTTCAATGTACTAGAACGCTATTAAATTATGTGATTATTTTTATTCACTAGCGAAGAAGTTATTTACAACAGTCGTGAGTGTTCTATATGTTAGAATTTATTTACAGGCTTTTTATATATTTGGTTAAAGAAGGTGCAGTTATTACACAGCGGATAATGTACTTGAAATTTGAGTAGTTTTACGTAATTATAAAGTGAAGTGCGTAAGTTTAAGTAGCGCGTTTGAGTAAGTGTAGGATTGGCTATTTCCTCTATTGCTAATACATGAATCTAGATGAGTGATGTACGCACGTTATGTACGTCACTACAATACATTTATGAACAAACATATGATCTAAATTCAAGCATACCATCATCATTCATTACTTCACAAACTGGTTCATGATTTTTTGTCTAAAAATTAAAGATTTAAATTCATTAACACACTGGCACAAATTTGTGCTTCTAAAGTCTATTATTGCTACGGCCGATATACAAAACATGCATATAAGTATAACATAGCTTTCTTGGCAAAATTATTTTTGGTTTCACCCATCAAAGCCAAGTGGTAGTACCAACTATGTTTAAATGTTCAAAGTTGTATTTTCTGATCAATAAACTGACCTCGTTAATAGAAAGGAGTTTATAAAAAGGCAGTAATTATTATCTACAATGCATATGAATTTTGACTTTGTCAAATATTTAGCGACATCTTATCAAATTTATTCCTGCGTGATGAAAGGACTTGCACAAAAATGGGTTATATTTCTCATAATTGTATCAGTTTATCGGGAGAATTTGTCTTGTTCACCTGTTTTTATTAAAACTGAAATATATGAAGGTATGAAATGCATTTGTTTTTCACATAAAATACACACATGTTAAAGCTGAGAAAACATTATGCAATCGTGAAAATTAACATACAAATACCCTTTCCCCTTCATAAGAATCGGGCCTTGGCATAGCAAACTACACCTCCAAATGATGCAACGTGTACCTTAAAACACAATGCCTCCGCTGTTAGCTGTGCCTGTTCTTTTGTTATGCATTGTGTTTTGACGAACTTTGTGAGAAGAGCAAGAAGGACTTCTCTTCCTGACATTCCTCGATTAAAATTTAAGTCTCCATACTTACTGTCGTTATTATCACTTATTGGATCTGAAACTGAAATAATTACTAATTACTGCATTGAGATGAGTAAAAGTGATTTTTCAGTACAACGGGTGACTTTGTATCATAAAATTAACAAATTGCTCGACTCAATTGCTCGACCCACTAAGGCGATTATAAACGCATAACAAAGCACAGGATTTGCACTTGTTTCAACTTCTCATATTGTCTACCATCTTGCTCTTAAGAAAAGATCTAATGAGACTATCTGATGCAAATTTTTTAACATGCATGATAAAAAAAATTACTTCACCAACTACATTATTTTAAGGCTTTCTTAAATAGTTGTATTATTATATTTCAGAAAAAAATATGCCTAAAAGTTTATAAGTCAAAGTCAGGCGTCATACCGTCCCAATCACCTTTATCATTTTTTTCATCAACTACCATGAAAGTATATGATAATTATTGACAATGTATTTATCATAACAATCTTCCATGTTTTTCTATGATGTATTTGCTGCATAATCGTAAACAAGATTATTCTTCTGAAAATTAGAGAGTTTAAACTACAACGATTGACATGCTTGGAGCAAAACAAATTCTTAAAATAAATCTAATTTATTATACTTTGTATGATTGCCTTAAATAGAATTATACCTCCCGTATCGGTCCTATGATTGTTACAACTATTGATTTGCAAGGCAAAAACGTACACTTATGTGAGTCAAACCAAACATTTCCACAACAGAGACTATAATCACAATTTGTAGTCTCATCCACTTCAAGAAAATCCTCTAACCCCACCATATCTAGTTCGCACAATTCCAGTTTTCTGATTTATTAAAATTTCTTAGTTTACAAACTGAATCCTTCCCTTAGCATTCAGAGCAGCTAATTAGCTTTAAAATTTTGTAAAATATGTCGTCTTTTTATTCCAGTATAGTTTTTTTTTTAAGTATGATATTCATACATTACTGTAAACAAATTCATATTAGTCTGAAAGCATCTTTTGTCAAGAAAAAACGTCACTATTAACTCAATTCAAAATTAATATTAATTGCCTTTTCTGCTCTCTTCCTTATTGAATTTTTACAATAAGGGTAAACCAAGCCCAGATAATTACGTAGACATTACTCAAGTCTTCTTATATAAGGTAAAAGATTGATTTGTTGATTGATTTGTTTCGTTTTTTGCTCCTCTGTTTTCGTCTTTACTTACCTGTGTTGTTTTGGCTCAAGCTAATGTCACAATCATTTACGATGTTTTGTTGAACCATCACGGGTACGGTGTTTTGTTGAATCTTATCAGGTAGCTTAACATCCAAATTTCTTTCTATTTCATTAGCTAAGCCTCCCTGCTTACACTCTTTCAATGCTAGGAGCAGTGCTATTACATTGGCATGCTGACCATCTCTTTCAAACCAATTGTTCAACACATATCGTGTGGGGTTGTCAGAGAGGTTTTCAGCAATCCTGTCTTCTTTACCTTCTGGCATATTCAGTACTTTGTAAAGGCTTGAAAAACAAACAATTTTAGATTCTAGTTCGGCAATACACCGACATAATTATTAGTGTCATGTCATGCTAAACATCATACAGGAAAAGGTTAGGTTAAAACCTTAATTTTTTTTTCCAATCACCTTTTCCAATCATTCTCTAATAGCTCATTTCCTTTTTTAAACGTTCTTCTAACTTTCTTTGAACATGATTTGGTAGATAAAAGTAGGTTGTTTATGGATTACACACTGTTGATAACTGGTTTGTCAAACCAACCACAGACTCTGTATCTGTAAATGGGGAACATAAAGGGGACAATACAGAGGTAATGTCCAATGGCGGATTAAGGGTACGTCAGAGTCAATTATTGCAGCACGTTTTGCCATAAAACCTCTTGGAATAAATCAATTGGTGAATTGTTTAGAAATTCAAAGCCAATAGTGTTTTTGTGAAAGCACTTTGAATTCAATATAATTTTGACGAATGCTGAATTTGCTACAGGTCATGTCAAAAAAGAATGAGCTTTTATAGTGGAGGAGAGAGTCTTCCATAGCTCATCCTTCAGCCCTCAACGTCGGTTCCTAAAGGCTATTTTTGCATGATTGAAGAATGATGATTATCGAGTTATTTGTAGTAATAATACAGTCATTACTTAAAATCTATACCTGAAAAGTATGCAATGCATCATACTAAGTGTCTTATATAGAGAACATAAAATGTCAGTTAGCAAGTTTTCCAAGATTCATCTGCTTGCGTTGTTTTGTGATGACTTACCGGATGGCTCCAAATTGACGAAAATAGTGGACGATGTGTTAGTATGTGAAGACAAGATTTCTAAATTCAAGAAAACAATAGGAAATTTTACCTATTGAGCACAAATAAAAAAAATAGAGATATAATCAGTTTGGAAACTGACTTAGTGTAGGGTAGAGCATTAGTTTTACTTCTTGCATGTATAAGTTAATACTTCATGAAATTGATCGTTACAAAATTGAAGAATGTTATCAAGTTGGACGCAATTTAACCAATCTGTGGTATTCTCACAAAGTTTGTTTTATATAGATTTGTAAGTCAATGAGAACATTTGAATGTAGAAAATTAATATTATTACTTGAAGGAGATTGTCCACACTTGCTTACCAAGCAAAATACGTTTTTAAGCTTTCATAAGATCTATTTTAATGAGTCATAATGACATACCACGCTGAAAAAATCTTGTTTACTAAACTAATTTTTAAAACTATAACTACACGAACAATATATAAAGGTATTGGGCTATAGAGACCTAATAAAAACCTTGACAGAGTTGTAAAACAGAATTGTTTGCATAATTACAGTGAAGAATAATTATTGTAGCTATTATTTGCGACACATAATTTTTAAAGTAAATGGTTTGAAGCAAGGAGTATCGTTACATGTTTGTAGATTTAGATCGTCCAGAATGGTATAGTCCTGAGAAGGACTGTTTTTGTTATTTTAGACTGACGTTTCGACAACCTTAGCGGAAGTCAAAGGTCACGTGACTGTGTTCATGGACAAGAATGATTACTTCGACAAAATGGACACCCTTGTTAACGACAGACTAACGTACAAACAACTCAAACGAGACCTAACACCATCACCAGTACGCAAACTTAACAGCAAGATCTTCTTTATGAAATAATCTAACATTATATCTGAACGTATTTACGATCGACCTAGATGTTCAGTACCACGACCACCCAGACTATACGGACTACCAAAACTTCACAAATCACAAATACCCATGCGAGCAATTGTATCATTCTGTGCTTCGCCTACTTAGGAACTCTCAAAGTACTTGACTGACCTACTGCAACCACATACAGCAAATCAAAACACAAGCTACAATCCCCCGAAACTTTCTTTAAAAAACTGAGCACTATACAAATACCGGACAACTATATACTAGTGTCTTTTGATATGAAATCACTGTTCACCAGTATTCCACTTAATCTGGCACTTACTTGTACAAAAACCCTCATTACAAACACTACGGACGTACTGCCATTACCGACAAAAGACATATGGAGCTACTGGAGCTCTGCTTCACCTCGACTTACTTCTAGTACAAAGGTACATACTACAAAAAATTACATGGAACAGCAATGGGCTCACCAGTTTCTGTTGTAGTTGCTGAAATTGTAATGCAATCTATAGAGAAACGGGCGCTCACGACTTACAAACATGTACTACCTTTTTGGTTCCGCTACGTAAATGACACAATCACAGCACTACATGCAGACGAGATTGATGACTTTCACACTCACATCAACAAACAGAACAGCCACATACAATTTACCAAAGATCTGTCATGGATCTGACATAGATCTATCACGGCAAATTACAGATACTGTGCATTGCACACTTCAAGCATGAAATTCATTTTAGTTGCAATTACGATTCTTTGGAGAATAATTGTTCATGAATCATGCAAGTTCTAAATGTCGACTGATGTCAAAGATGAGCAGTTTATTTGAGATACCTGTTACATCTACGTTAAAGTTATACGAGCCCTTTTATTTCGCTTTTAAATGAAGAATATCACAAAAAAGGAAATTGTGCAAATAAATAATGAAAAAAACATATACGATATTTTAACAATTGGAGGTGTGCGAGCATTCCCTTGAGAGTGAGAGAATAATGCAATTTGTGCCATGTTGGATGACAATTTTGCATTGTAAATAAAGAAAACCTTTGTTAAAATTATTCATCATGGCGGCCAAGACTTAACTTGCTCACCAAAAGTCCAAAAACATGTGTTAACATATTTACAATATTTGAAGGTGACATGCAAATAATGAAGGAAAAAATAATACTGCCTCGAAATGTTGCCATCCCTTAAAGTGGTTATATCACGAATTTTAGCCCCCCTTTTTTATTAGCTAAATTGAAAGACCTTGTTTCAGTGATTTTAAATCTGCAATTATAATTGAAATTGGATTGGTGAAAGTGATTTTACGGACGTTCAAAGTCACGATTTTCAGCATTTTTTTTGCGAACTTTTTGATCGGTATGCTAATGACTTGTGACGTAGAAAGTTGAACACATATATCAACAGTCTACTAGTAATCTTAATAAGAAACGCGGAGGAAAACGCTGTGTTGCTGGCGGACCTAATCAAATTAGTTGCGCCAATGATTCAAAAACCGAAGGAATGTCGATGCATCTGTTTCCTAAAAAAGAAACAGAGCCGCAAAGACATAGAAAATGGGTAAATTTTGTGCGTAAACATAGACCGGGTTTTGAGGCTTCCTCTACCTCGTGTCTGTGCTCTGCGCATTTTAAAGATTCTTGTTTTGACCTTAATTTGAGCGTGTAAGTCAAGCTCAAAAGAAGGTTGAAGAAAGATGCTATCCCAACCATTGACGTGGCTGGGATTCCTGAACCATTACAGGACGAAATAACCGATCGAAAGCGAATACAAGTAAGTTTACACTTGTTTATGTTAATTTTCTTTTGTCATATGTAAATTCGATATAAGTTTTGTAGATTATTCGACATACTCTCCATAAGCCATCGCTGAAGGAAACATGTTCTCTCAATGAGGAAGTACCATCTACTAGTGATGAAGCTGAGCATGTTTAAGTATGCACTGATTAAGCAAATGATTCGCCATTTGAACGGCTTGCTATTTTCCATTTATACATTTATGCTATGAGTTAATTCCATATATTTTTTCTTTTGTCTTTTTTCCCAGCCTGACATTGAAGAAAAGATATTCTTTCATTTAATTCTTTCAGCTTAACCTCTCAGTAGTTGCAACAATTTGTTTTTATAGTTTACTCTTGTTTCAAACCATTAAACTGCATGTCAACTTATATAGTGCATCCATGTATCTCCTATTTGGTTTTCATCTAGGCATATTTCCTGACCATTCCAAACTCAGCAAAGAAGGTCAACAGTCTCTACAGTGCACAAGTTAAAAGACTATTCCATCATCGCCCCTCTGATGGTATGTAACCTGTTGTGTTACCACTTGGATATGCTTTCCGAATAAAGTGGTAAACACAAGAAGGTAAAGGCCGAGTATTCTCCCATCCCATAGACCCACAAAACCATCGCATCAACCATCTGTATATCACAGCTCTCAAGTACCTGAAGTAAATGAAAAGGTTGGTGAAACCTAATTATTGTTGATGAAACAATGTTGATTATAACATTGTTTCTCTTGCAATTTACAATCTTACATATTTAATGATTGTGATGCTTGGCGGCGATAAGCACGTCCATTCCTATCTCTCAATAGTGGCCCGACGTTTTCAAGGACAGCCTCATGAACTAAAGGCCCAAATTTGGCATGCTGTGTTATGCATGATATTTTCTCAATGCTGCCATCAAATGTCATTTTCTGCAAAGTTGGTCCAATTTCCTTACAGCATCTGTACTCTAATGCGCCTTCTAACAAATCGGTATGACAGCATTGACAATTACACCTGAAACGTGGGATTATCCTGGTTTATAAAGTAACTTTATGTATATTACAAACAGGAGAAAACAACTTACCATTCACCAAGTGGAATTACGCCATCACTTCGTTGTTCTAATGTCGCAGGGAGAATTCCATCGGGATCATCTGGAGTATGCACTTCATCACCATCTCCTGCTAGCGGTCATCGTCATATGCGAAGTCGTTTAAATGCTCGACATAACCCACGGATTCCGAGCTCGAATCAGATACGCATTCAGACATCGAATTTGAATTATCTGAGCACTGATTTGAGGCCATACTTTCCGGACAACTTGTTTTTTAATCTTTTATTGAAAATACTGTCATTATTTGTTTTTAAGACAAGAAAAACGACAACAAAATCACCTTCTATAATATAATATTATATTGACGGAAACAGACGTGTTCAACTATCAACGTCACAAGTATCAATATGGCGTCGTAAAAAATTCGCAAATAGTACCCTACTTTGGAGGCAAAATTAAGCAACTTTATCTGTTTAAGTCCAGCGACATGTCATAGTTCTTCAAATAATCCAAATTTTCAATTAAGCTCATAAAAAAGGGGGGCTAAAATTCGTGATATAACCACTTTAAGTTTTAGTACTGCTACGTGAATTTCAGAACACTATCATCATGTTGCAGTGAGTGAACGATGGAAATTTTTCAAAGCAAAACTAAATAATCAGAATGGATACGCATTCGCCTCTGGAAGATACACATACGTGACACTGGAGTTTACAATTATTTTCCAGGCATTATAATAAACATTGCTTTTGAATTATAAAAGATCAGCAATATTGTACAATTCGCAATCAACCAGTAGATCATACAGCAATCCAACAGTTGATTTATTCTTGGATTCCCTTCGAGATATCACTTCCTCAACAGGATTCTTAGACTTTATAAATTTGCGGATGTCAATTATTGTCACGTCCATAACGAGATGGCTCGCAACCGTTTCCCAACAGTTTTTCGCTGTGAATGATACAAAATTCGTTTGTAATGATTATACATTTTGGCAAATTCAACAAAATATGTAAAGTATAAAGAGAATAAGAAACTGTTTTACTAAATCAACCATAATATAAGTCACACGTCTCAAATCTGATTTAAATTTTATTTTACTGCATTAAGCATTTTTTTTCATATATTTAACAGATTTTGAAGATTCATTACATATGTGTTATCTGAATTTAAAATTTTAAATGGTTGAGTAACACATTAAGCAACAACTTGTGCTTGCTCAAGTGGATTATCTATGATGGCATTATCCACGAATATGTAATAAATAAGCGTGGTGGTCAGAATCAGATATCAACTGATGGCAAATTTTCAATGTACCAATTAATAGCACATGTCACATTCAGTTACAATTTCACTTACAATTCAAACGTATCGAGACCTTCTTTAAAATGCCAAAGTTCATTTTCTCAGTTTTTTCTTCATCATCACAATTTAAAAGACCTATAGAAGTTTAAATGACACACAAAATCAAATGGATTATTTTTGTAGGGTTTAAAAAAGCATCATTTCACTTTGCACTAAAAATCTTTCTTTTGCTGTATATATGTCATAGCCACAGTAACATAATGTTCACATGTACATAATTTGCTTTAGTCTTTATACCCGTGCTGCCAACAGGAAATTTTTTTCTCATCCAAAGGCCAACATCCTTAAACTGATCTTTCCTTCGAAGCTCCCGAAACAGAAACCTGATTTTCTTTTCTTTCAATTTAACGATTAAGTCAGCACTGTTATGCACGTAACATTGCACCTTCAACATGTTTGTAGCAATTTCTGAGAGAACGTCAACATGAAATTGGTTTAATATCTCTATTAACGGGTCTTTTAAATGTTCCGGTAGGTCTCTGACAAATTTTAGAGCTATATAAAAGAGGATATTTAAGTTACTCAGAGATATGTGTATGTAGCTATATAACCATTAAAGATTTAGGTAAATCACCAATATTGATTAAAGTTCTCATTTACACTGCCAGAAAAGCACTACAAATCAATTTTGCAAAAAATTGTTATTTTATTTCAAGACATAATTAAAATTCTTGCGACAGCAATTTGATTTTTGAGATGGGATGGCCCGAATCAAACACAGGCATTGACCTGTCAGGTTCCAGCCGTAGCTCCAACCTTACATCTTCTTGCAGCTCTTGTTGGACATTGTCTCGTTGCTCCGTCCGTAGCTCGTGCCGTACGTCTTCATGTAGCTCATCACATAGTTTTCGCCGTATTTCTTCCGATAGTTCTTGTCGTAACTCTTGCCTTACAACACCAAAAAACTCTTCCCACTTATTTTTCGTTGCCTCTAGATGATGTCTAACTGAAAATTAAGAATTAAATCTTCTATACATGAACTCACGACCTTCAAAAGCAATGTATGACAGGAAGGGAGAAACAAATGAGAATATATTACGACACCTTAAATTCCATAAGTTAAAATCGTAACAGTAAATGTTTCATTTTTGGAAAAAGTTTATAAAAGTATATTGCCAAGTACTGTATAATACATTAAAAAAATATAGATATTTATTAGAGTAATTAGATTTATTAACCTAATTAGAATTTAATAACTTAATCTTGAATTAAATCGGCTTGTCAGAAATGTTTTACCTGGCAATGAGATCGATTTGACTGAATCTTTCTCCAATATCTTCCATTTCAAAGTCGGTTTCAGTAGTATAAGACATGGGGGTAACAGCGCAAAATAAGACCATGGTTCAAAGGCGTCCCTCTGGCAAAAGGTCATGTAAAAAAAGCTGCGCAAAAAAGTCATTGTTTCAATATAGTGGTAAAAAGGCCGTGTTTTGAAAGGCGTCCCTCTGGCAAAAGGCCATGTAAACATAACTGCGCAAAAAGTCATTGTTTCAAAGGGGGGTAAAAAACTCGAGTTTACAATCTATCGTTTTAAATATGGAATCTATATGTTTTTGAAATATATAGATGCGTTTAAATTTTAAAAACTATCTTTAGAAATCAAGTGGTAACAAGCATCGTTTCGGAGGGGGCTCGGCAGCGCAAATTTTAGCGTAGCTAAAATTGAGCAGGGGGATGGAGCCCCCGAGAATTCATGCGAGCCTGGTGGGTAAAAAATTCTAGCCTTAGCTAGAATTTTCGGCTCGCCCCCGTGGCATTCGATGAATATTCGAAGAATATTCGAGAATAACAGAGGCTTAAAAAATGCTCTTCAAAAAACCGTCTTTAAGAATGAATTGTTAAGAAAGCATCGGTTCGGAGAGGGCTCGCAGCGCAAATTTTAGCGTAGCTAAAATTGAGCAGGGATGGAGCCTCGAGAATTCTCAGGCGACGATGGTGGAAATTTTTCACGAAGTGAAAAATTGAGTCCCCCGTGGTTCGATGAATATTCGAAGAATATTCGAGAATAACAGAGGCTTAAGATATGCTCTTTAAAACCGTCTTTAATAATCAAGTGTTAATAAAGCATCTTTTAATCGTTGTTAGGGTTTAATTTCAGGCAACTAAGCCTGAAATTTTGAGCGCAACAATGTCATAAATGCTCTTTACAAAATATGGAAACAATATAGCTGTTGATTTAGCGAAGCTAAATTGCGTTAGCGGCGCGCGTGTCTTAGTGCATGTTTTTAACAATGGTTGTTTAATGTAGATAGCACATTTCATCAGCGCATGTATAATAATACAATGTTTTACAAAATATGGAATCTATATGTTTTTTAATTTGTCTATCAAGTGCGTGTCACATGTACATAACAATGTTTTATATAATTTTGTTAAAAGTGTTTTTACTAATTGTTTCAGGATTTTGAATCTTTTGTATATCGCTTTTGTATTAATTACTTGTTACAAACAGTTATGTGATATGTAGTCAAACATGAGGAGCAGGTATGTATGATTTTACTCTAACAGAGGCCCACGCTACATGCTTACTACACATTATAACTGTTTGTTAATATTTAGTTATTTGAATTGATAAGATAATGACCATAAGCATAACTTGTACACCATCATCTAATATATACCGTTTATCATCAAAACAGCTAAGTGATACTTTATTAATTTCATAACTACTAAGTTGATGGTTTACACTTCTAATAGTTTTCATTGTATTATGTATTTGTTTCTTTTCAAATAGTGTTTGTTTATAGTCTTCATGTTTTATTTTGTTTTTAATAATATTTTTCTTAATTCCTTTAGCTTTTTATCTCCTTTATTATTATCTTTAATATAACTATACATTTTACTTCTTAAACCAACAAATTCTTTAATTATATTCCAGCGGCTTCGTCTTTCATTTTACCAATAACCTTTTTATTAGTCTTATCATGATATTGTGAATTTTCTGGGTAATCGCTAAAATCAAATTTATCTTTATCAGCCCAAAAATCTTTATAGACATCTTCAGTTTCGATTTCATATGTTAAACTATCTGTGTCTGTGAAAAGAAGTTTAGCTTTATCATCATACCGCTTCTTGATATAGTTGTAATGAAAATCATACATCAACGTTTTACTTAAATCTAAAATACACATACCCACATATGCCGGCCTATTAAGGGTTAGTGTTTCTTTGATCTTATGAACAGCCACAAGATTCTCATTAAAAATTTTACTACTTACATAAGTAGGTTTTGAAGCTAATTTTAATAATTTATTTTTATTAGTTACTAGTCTAACGTCTACTCTTTTTCGTAAGTTTTCCATGGTCTTACCGAACACCGAATTATTCATTAATTTGAAGAAGTCTTTTTCAAAAGAATTTTTTGCATTAGTTCTTTTTTGAGTATTAAAGTCTATGTATTTTTTCAACCATGGAGATTGATTAAATTCAAGTACTCTATGTACTTTAGTTAACTTTAACCCAAGATCTAAGTATAATTGAAGATTTCTATAATGTAGCACATACTTGTATTTATTTTGTAATGTAGGTATTAATTTTAACTAAACCTGTTGATATATTGTAATTAGAAGCAATTGTCTTACAATATTTTGACAACATATCACTAGTTACTTTAACTTTTCTGGTGCAACAGGATAATCGTTATGTAAATCATGTAGTTCTTCAGGGTATTCTAAATCAACTTCTAAAATTAAACCTTTTTTACTATCTTCTTGATATTTAACAAGGTTTATGTTGTTAATCTGTTTCTTAGTTAACCATTTGAAACCACCAGTAGGTAGGTATTGTGACATAGCCCATCCATATAAATTGTTTGCATCAAGATACATTATATATTTTGAGGGTTTATTCTTATCAAATGTTTCCATATACTTGTTATTAGCCTTACCATATCGATTAGAAATATAAGAAACACCTCCTCTCATACCCTTTTCAATGAATTGAAACATGTCAATATCAGTCATTAGTTCTAATTTAATATCTGTCATTTTAAGCATAGCATCCCAAGACAAACCAGGAGATGTGAAATAGTGACATGGGTCTAAATTATAGTATTCTAAGCATGTTTTTCGAAAGTTTTCAAATACATCAGCTAATAACAAAACATCTGATTTCAAATACAAGTCGTGGTAATCACCCATGTTTTTGAGATTGAATGTATTCCACACTTTTTGTGCATGCTTATAAGAATCATCTGATATATTCTCATCAGTAAGAATACTATAAAAGTCTTTTTTTGAAGGCAACCCCTCATCAAACTTTTCAAAGCTATCCATATAATCATATGGGTATATACCTTTTTTAGTCATTAAATTAAGTTTTTCACCTTTAAACTGATTATAGGTGTATTTAAATGATTCTTTAGGTAAATTACTAACAAGC